GGGGGGCTCCCGGCTGGGGCTGCCCTGGCCCGGGCGCTGGTAGCGACGGCCGCTCCCTGGGAGGTCTGGCACTCGCTGGGCGGCTGCAGCACAGAGGGATATTCTTCCCCCAGCCTGAGGGAAACCGCAGAGCGGCTCCAGGTTGATGCTGCTGGAGTCCCGAGCCGCTGCAGGGACAGCGGAGGCTGAGCACAGCCCTCTGCTTGACCTGCCTTGGGCGGCCGGACCTGCTGTCCAGCCAAGGCAGTGCAGGGGTCCAGCCTGGCCCGAGGCCCGTGCTGCCAGCCTAAGGGGCTTGGGGGTCAGAAGGGCGAGCGGGCCAGATCCAGGGCTGGAGGGAGCCGGGAGGCCCCAAGTCCTGCAGCACATGCCGGCTCCATGCTCATCCCCGCTCTGAGCCAGGGAGGGCAGCTGCTGGGGCTGGGGTCCAGCAGGTTCCCTCCGTGATCGTGGCGTTGTCCAGGGGCCGCACTCCAGTCTCTCACCGCCTCCAGCTTCACTTTCACTGTAGAGGTCACCGCATCCTCGCTGGGCTGTGCCTTGCTGCGGGCACGTGCTGGCAGCCTGGACCAGCTGCCTGTGGGTGCGGGGTCCCCATGCCAGCAGCTCCTCTCCAGCCTTGTGCCCCGGCGGCAGGACTGGCAGTGGTGGGGGGCTGACCTGCCCCGGGCCCTGGGTAGTGCTTGGCCACCTCTGTCCATGGCCCAAGGGCGCCACCTCCTGGGGTGCACTCCCCAGCTCTGCCACGCCTCCCAAGCTGGGCCCAGGCTGGGCACCGGGTGCTGGGTTTCTCCCCCCATGGCTGCAATGGAGCACATGGCAGGGCTGCCCTGAGGACCTCTCAGCCTCTACACCAAACTGTGGAAGGAAGAGGAGGGACGTGGGGCTGGCGAGGTGGGAGGGTGCAGGCCTGTGGGGCCCTGAGGAGCTGGAGAGGAGCCCCCAGTTCTGGCTCAGGGACAGTGGAAGGAGCCCTCCTTTGCTGCCAGGCGGGAGGTGTGTTTGCTGCCTGCACCCACCCATCTGCCTCTGGCCCTGGCAGCGCTTCCATGAACCCGCTCCAGCCAGCAAGGCCCTGGCTGGGGACAGCTTTCTAAGGACTGCATGGGGAGCAGTCCTTGTCTGCGGGGTCACGGACCAGCCTGTCACTGGCGGCCTTGGTGGTATTGTGGCACTCAGACATGACTCTATCTGTCTGCCCATCCTGCAGTCATAGACCTGCTGATGGTGACGGAGGCCCGGCAGATGGTGAACGTGGCACACAAGATCCGGACAGAGTTGCTGACGGTGAACGACGCCTACCTGCTGTCTACCTTCCGCTTGCCCCCCAAGCAGGGTGGTGTGCTCTTCGGCCTCTACTCCAAGAAGGACAACACACGGTGGCTAGAAGTCTCTGTTGTGGGGAAAATCAACAAAGGTAGGGTCATGCAGAAGCACAGGAGTGCCTGCGCCTCGGGCCATGGGCTGGGGGGCCTGGGGATGGCAGAGGAAGGGCTGTGCGCAAGGTGTGCTGTGCCAGGCACCATGCATAGTGGGTACAAGCTGTGCCGGGTAGGGCTTTGGGCCCCCATGCTGAGGGAAAGCTTACGCCTGTGGCTGTGCTCCGCAGTCCTGCTGCGATACCTGCGGGAGGACGGGAAGCTGCACGTGGTGAACCTGCAGCACACCGGCCTGGCGGATGGACGGAGCCACACGGTGATTGTGCGCCTGAGCGGGCTGCGTGCCGATGCCCTGGGTGTGGAGCTGTATGTTGACTGCAAGCAGGCCGATGCCAGCGCAGGGCTGCCCCAGATAGCAGTCGTGCCCCAGGCCGAGGTGGAGGCGGTGGAGGTGCGCACGGGGCAGAAGGCCTATCAGAGGTTGCAGGTGAGACGGGGCCTGACTGAGAGGGTGCAGCAGTGGGGGTACGGGCAGTACCATGGCACCAGGGCTGACGGCTCCTCTCTGGACCAGGGGTTTGTAGAGTCGATGAAGCTGATTCTGGGAGGGTCCATGAGCCGCGTCGGGGCCCTGAGTGAATGCCCTTTCCAAGGTGATGAGTCCATCCACAGTGCAGGTAACGCGGCAGGGGGCACCCGGAATACAAGCCCATGCAGGGGCACCTGCACACACGTTACATGTGGAATAGGGCACTGCCAGGTATGCCAGGGCATGTCTATGTATGTCATGTGGAACATGGGACCCACACATAGACGTGTACATATCTTGTGCTCCTGTTAAATATGGAGCATGAGCCATGCGGGCACATAGATGCATATGCACGCAGCCTGCTTGTGGCTGGGCCTGGTGGGGGCCGGGCCTGTAGCTACCAGACTCTGCCTTCTGTGCCGTGTGGGCAGGAACGAGTCAGGCTGGCAGCAGGACGATGTTTTCATCTCCTCCCTTGCAGTGACCGGGGTGCTGAACTCCATCCTGGGTGAGTTGCTTGTTGTTCTCCTGGCCTTCCCCCTCCCACACTCCTGTTGCACATGGGTTTGGGCCCACACCTGAGTGGGGCTGGGCAGAGGGAAGCCTCGGGGTCTCAGGGCAGAGAAGGGGATGCTGCACCCCTCGTTGAGGTCTCATCCTTCACCTGACTGCTCTTGGCTCCAAGACAGCTGTGGTCATGCATGAAGTGAGCTTGGGGGATCTCAGCCAGCTTCTGGGCATTGTTTTTCCCCATTGCGGACCCAGGTGTGCGTGGGTGCCTGTCAGGGTGGGGCAGAGCCCTGGGGGCAGTGGGCAGAGCGGATGGCGCCCAGGGGGACTGACCGGTACTCTGTTGGGGCAGGCGAGCAGACCAAGGCCCTGGTCACGCAGCTGACCCTCTTCAACAAGGTCCTGATGGAGCTGAGGGAGGATATCCGTGACCAGGTGAGGTGGCCAGAGGGGCTGTGCACCATTCCCTGCTGTGGCAGGATTGGCCGCATCCAGGTGCTAGCCCCCTGCTCAGTGCCCCTTCCCCCCCCACTTCTTCTGGGGGCCTGGGCCAGAGATCAGGCGGGTTCTGCTCCAGGGTGCTGTGATGCCGAGGTCTTGGGCTCTGACACCTGCGCTGTGCCTTGCAGGTGAAGGAGATGTCCCTGATCCGGAACACCATCATGGAGTGCCAGGTCTGCGGTGAGTCCTGGCCCTGGGGAGCTGCCCTGCCCTGTTCAGCCTGGTCCAGCCCAGCGGCTGCGCCGTGACCCCCTCTCTCTGCAGGGTTCCACGAGCACCGCTCCCGCTGCAGCCCTAACCCCTGCTTCAGCGGTGTAGACTGCATGGAGACATATGAGTACCCCGGGTACCGCTGTGGGCCTTGCCCTCCCGGCTTCCAGGGCAATGGGACACACTGCACTGACATCAATGAGGTGAGGGGCCCAGCCCAAGGATTGAGCAGGTTGCATGTGAGCCTGCCGGGGACAGAGCGCTGCTCACAACATGGGGCAGGGTCCTGTGTTCTGGGGATCCCGATGCATTGGGAAATGGATGAGGCAGGGCATGACTGTGCCCCTGGGAAGGAGCAGTGTGACAGTGCAGGCAGGCTCGGCAGGGACGAGCCTGCCCTGTGCAGCAGGGCCTGGGCCTCAAGCTGCGCTGGAGGAGGTTGTGGGTCAGGCTTCCTGTGTGCCCAGGGCTGTTGGACAGGGATGGTGGTCGGTGCTCCCTGCTCCATGGATGGGGCAGGGAATTGGCTCACCCTGCTGCCAGGTGCATGGCAGGAAGCTTGGTGCTGGGGCAGGGGTGATGCCAGAGCAGCCCTGGGAGGCCAGCACTTGTGAGCCATGCTGCTGGCAGGGGCCTGCTATGCTGGCTGCGTGTGGGACTGGCTGGACCCTCTCCCTCGCTCCCAGTGTGCCCACGCCAACCCCTGCTTCCCTGGCTCGAAATGCATCAACACGGCGCCCGGCTTCCGCTGCGAGCCGTGCCCCCGTGGCTACAAGGGGAACCTCATCTCAGGTGTGGGCGCTGACTATGCCAAAGCCAGCAAGCAGGTGAGAGGGGCCTGGCACTGGCAGCCAGCTCTATGCTGCTCTGACTCCTGACTGGTGGGGGAGGGTGTGAATCTGGGGGCACTGTGCTGCTGGAGGCAGGGGGCTGCCGCTGCAGCAGAGATGGCTGCCAAGGCTGCACAGGGCTCATGACCTGCTGGCTCTGGGCTGCCCCTGGCATCTTACAGTGCGCCCCCTGGGGCTGGGCAGGAGTGACCCCCCAGTCTGGGGCAGTACCACGGGACTGGAGTGTGGCACCTTCAGGGATGAGCCCAGGCCTCCTCCCTCCCCTCCCTTCCCCAGGAAAGGCACTGCACGGC